CAGCCTCACCTGTGAAATTGGCTAGTGTCCGGCAGTAGCTGGAGAACCGGTGGCGATGTAACCACTGCTGCGTCTCCAGGATGGAGGCTCCAGTCTCACCTCAGCTGGGCTGCCCCCCAAAGTGTCCAAGATGAATGGTGGTGAGCAGCAGAGCCTGTGGGGGAGCAGAGGGTCAGGGCCTCTTGGGTACAGTGCAGCCAGTCTCCCACCCTGGGAGGCAGAGCTTGCCAGGTGTCATCCCAGGTGTTCCCCAGAAGCCGGGCTGAGCCTCTTCCGGGCCTCAGCACACCCCTCAACCCTGCCCCTCCCCCAGGCCTTGGCTGAGGAGCTCTTCACTGGCGCCCCAAAGGGCTGATGGGAGGCGCGCATCCCCACTCACCGCTCCGGGGACAGGAGTTTGCAGGAGTGGGGCGAGGTCAGAGCCTGAGGGCTGAGAGGCAGGTGGGGCTCTGCACTGGGCTCCGGCCATGGTGAACACTGCGGGCAAACAGTAAGGTCGGCATGGACAGTTGGAGAGCAGTGGCAGCTGTCCCTCACCTCCCTCCAACTGCCTATTAGGAGTTGACAAGGGCCCGGCCAGTGTGGTTCAGTGGTTGAGTGTGGACCCATGCACCAGGAGGTTGCCAGTTCGGTCATTCTGGTCAGGGATCAGGGCAGATGCCTGGGAGGGCTGTGCAGGAAACATCTCTCCCTCTCCTCCCTCTCTCTCTAATATCAATAAAAACACTTTTTTTTAATGTTGGCATCTACAAAATTAGCTGACAAGCAGATCTAGTTTCCACACTAAGCAAGAGAGCAAACTAGCCTGCAGGGCTGCCTGGGGGAGTTGGGCAGGCTTCCGCGGAGCTGGCAGAGGCAGCAGCAGGAAAGCAGCTGCTCTGGGCAGAGGAGCCGCAGTGAGGTGGCAGCGGCTGGCACAGGAGAGGCGGCCTGGAAGGTGGCCGCTCCAAGGGGTCTTGAAGTTGGTCTTTGCAGGAAGCGGGTGGAATCCGGGGGGTGGGGGGGGGCTGTGATCATCCTGAAGCAGGCACAGCCCTTGAGTCCTCAGTTTCCCAGGTGTGAGGGAGTGTGTCCGGCAGTAGCTGGAGAACCGGTGGCGATGTAACCACTGCTGCGTCTCCAGGATGGAGGCTCCAGGGTTCAGATCCTGAGGCATGGAGAGGGCAGTCCAGGGAACACCATGAGCCCACGGACTGAGAACAGAGGGGAGGAGAAACAACCTCTGCCCTTGGGGGCCCGAGTCTGACGGGGAGGCTCATTCTGCTGGTGGGAAGTGCCGGTCCATGCAGGGAAGCTTTGTGATCTAGGGCCATAGCACATCTGTCCAGCAGGGGGCAGGGCCGCCCTATTCTGGAGCGAGAGAGGAG